CCAGTAAACTTTAACAAAACTGGGGGTCTGGTGGAGGTGGGATGGCCCGGACACGAGCTCACGAGGGAGACCAGCTGGTGCCATATTGACAAAAGCGCAATGCGGCAGTAATTGGCTCTTCAGTGTCCCTGAAGAGGGAAAAGAGAGGGAAAATTGTCTTTCAAACTGCAAAAAATAAAAAAAAAACAACCTGATGCATTTTAGACCTGTTGCTCTGGCTGTCAATCAGTGCTTTTGGAGCACAATAAGCTTTTCTGAAATAAAGGCCCAATCAGAATAATTTCTTCTTTGGGTTTTGGAAATTGTTAGTTCACATGTGGACTGGTAGAAGAAGCAACACCATCTTGGATTTGTTTAGTATTTATATTTATGACTATAATTATCAATAATTTAGTTCTTAAAAATGCATTGCTTTGAGATGGTAAAATATGAAATAGCTAGGATGCTAGCAGGTGGTCTAATTTAGCCTATATATATAGCTATTTCAGTGGCATGGTGTTGGGTAGCTACAGATGGGTCTCCATATCCTAAAACCAACAAACTTCAGGAGCCCATAATCTACATTTTTCTTGCATTTGATTTTTTTCGCATGAGAGCCTTTTATAACATTAGTGTGGTTTTATTTACAAAAAACAGTCATAATGCTGTTTATATAACCATTTTCCAACCTCTGTTTATCCTTGAAATTAAACAGGCTACGTACTATATCGTACTATATCAGTGTACATATACATACATATATATATATATATATATATATATATACACACATATATATTTATATATATATACATGAACTATCTGTTGTTCCATACTTGAATTGAGCTGTGACCATAGGACTGTATTAGATAATAAAAAAACAGTCATTACATGTAAATATATTTGCAAAAATATCTGCCCTGAAGATATCTCATATTTTCAGTTTGAAAACTTTTGCTGTAATGTAAAATCTATAAATGATTGAGTTGCTGTTAAGATTATGTGTATTGTCGTTTAGTTATTGGAGAAAAAACCCAAACACATGGTACATGTGACATATCAAACTGTATTCCCAGTTCTTGTAAAGGCTCATTAATACACAGAGCTGAGATGTAATGGACACAGAGCTGAGATGTAATGGAACACAAGTATTGGGAATGTGTATTCAGAATACAGAAATTAAGCATCTGTATTCCGTCCAAGTTACATTTTGTGAAGGCCGTATTCGGAATACAGTTACTTTTACATTTTTAGAGAATAAATACTTTTAGAATTCTTGAATACTTACCCACCCAAAAAATACAAATTAAATAAAACAGATTAACTTAATAAATGGTCTCTTTATAAACACTAAGGTCTCAGCTAAAGCCTGAGTAGACTGATAAATCAATGTGATCAGTTATTAATCTCAGTGTTACTGAGCTCTGCTAAAGCCTGAGTGGACTGATAAATCAATGTGATCAGTTATTAATCTCAGTGTTACTCAGCTCTGCTAAAGCCTGAGTAGACTGATAAATCAATGTGATGATCAGTTATTAATCTCAGTGTTACTGAGCTCTGCTAAAGCCTGAGTAGACTGATAAATCAATGTGATGATCAGTTATTAATCTCAGTGTTACTGAGCTCTGCTAAAGCCTGAGTAGACTAATTAATCAATGTGATCAGTTATTAATGTGTTACTGAGCTCTGCTAAAGCCTGAGTGGACTGATAAATCAATGTGATCAGTTATTAATCTCAGTGTTACTCAGCTCTGCTAAAGCCTGAGTAGACTGATAAATCAATGTGATGATCAGTTATTAATCTCAGTGTTACTGAGCTCTGCTAAAGCCTGGGTAGACTGATAAATCAATGTGATCATCAGTTATTAATCTCAGTGTTACTGAGCTCTTTTGAAGGACGATCAAACTAATAATCTCCTCAGTAGTGAAAATGTTTGCAAGCAATAGGTTTAGCATAGGTGTCGCTCTGGATTGCTCAGGGGACTGTGGGACAAGCAGTGGACTGAAGGAGGCGGTGAGAAAAAAAAGGTAATTTTCAGAACTATGTTCAAATGACAAGTAATTTTTTCATGAAATGTATTAACAAAATTATGTATTAACAGAAGAAGAGTTGAAATGTTCCTTATCAAGATAAATGTAGCTAAATGTATTCTGAATATAAGACTTTTTATGTACTGTAATGGAATACATTACTGAATACACTAAGGACAGTGTGTTCATTATTAAGCCATCACTACAATCATTCTGCACTACCCTGTAAAAACAGGCGTGAAATTTGACTTCCAAGCAGAAGCATTCTTGGGTCATTCTACAGAAATGTCCACTTTTCCGTCTGTCCATAGGTGTCACTGGTGTTACCAATCCTCAATGGTGTTACATATAAAAAGGGTAACACCAGTGACATTTTTAATGAAAAATGCACTTTACAAAATGGCTGCTATAGAGCATCAAACAACATGTTGTCTGTCATGGAATGTCCACTAAAATATGTAATTTAATCCATTTGTATTACATCTTTTCACAATGACCTAAGAATAAAGTAGGTCACACCAGAGACATCAACTAAAAGCTTCATATGAAATCATGAGCTAAATGAGAAAATCTCTGATAACTGAAAGACACAGTGGACTCACCATGTGCTTTTTTCATAGATATTCAGAAAATAGGTAAAAGGAAGTCAAGTGATGTCATCAGTGTGATTTTTATTTCAAAATAAGAGATTTTTAGTGACACGACTCCTGGGGACCACAACTTTCATTACATATTTCATAATATTTATTTGCCATTTGTTTTCTTTATGTCATTTAATTTATATATTCCATAGTCATGTATAGATTATTGTAGTTAAAATTGCAGAAAAATGTGTGTTTTTTTTTCTTCAAAATATGGCCTCAGTCTTTACACATGACTGTGGGCACAAGCACTACTGTGGTGCTTGGAAATCTAGATAATTGATTTAAAAACCAATATTGCTAATTCATGGCTGAAAAAGGTGTAATTGTTAAAATAGCTTATTGCTATATTTTAAAATAAGCCTAACATGTTTTTGTTAAGTCTAATATGTCTCTAAACGCTAGGGACACAAAAATGGACGTTTCTGTGGAAAGAGGAATGACCCTCTTTCCTTCTGCGTTAGCCAGCTAGTGAAAAAACAAACAAACAAACAAGTAAATCCTCCCCAAAGTGCTTCTCAGAACTTCCTCCCACATATTAGATACACCATCAGGGGAGGATTTTACTAGTCTTTAAACCGGAAAATCTCGCTGTAGGGAATGAGCAGGTCTGCTCCCACAAACGAAGCAGTGGTTCATTTTCTCTTTGTGCTCGGACTGCTCATAGATATACATACCTAAATGCCGCGTTGGGTCCAGCCAGGCACGTCAACGGCGCCGCCATTTTGTGGCGGTCAACATTGCAGCTGGACCCCATTCAGTACCATTATAGAGCGGCAGTTTAATAAAGATACTGTCCAAAATTACACTATTTCAAGAATATCGCACTCAGAAAGTGGGATAGGATTATATAACAGAGGAAACACAGCGATCCGCGCTCATGTTTGTGTGATGCGTGTTGTCTGTGTGGTGTTTATGTGTAGATATGGCCGTGTGGTTGGTGATGCACAGAGAACCTGTTGATGTGATTGTTTTTCCTCTGGTTTTATTTTAATCTTATTTCATTTAATAGTCCTTACACTCCTTAATCCGTGTAGATACTTATAATAGATTAGCACCTTCTTGATTGAATTTTCCAGTTACACCTTAAATGGTGCATCAGCCAGCTCCTTGTTCGAATTTTTCCAGTTCCACCTTAAATGGTGCAGCTTCAGGCACCAGAAAGTGACTGCTGCACCATTTAAGGTGGAACGGGAAAACTCGAATAGGAAGCCAACAGCTTCGTCCTTCTGTGTATAAAGATTAGAAGTGATTCACACATTGATGGATTTGCTGATTGTGTTTTTACCGGAGCTCGCGCTAAACTCACGTCAGGTGCAGACTGAATACTTTCCCGCTGGTCCGGACGGATAATTAGCATGATCAGTTAATATAGAAATAAAAGGCTACCGAGAGCAGCCTGTGCAACCTATATTAATCTGCTTCTGAGGATTATAACAAAACAAATTTGGTGAAAATCGGTTGAATCATAAAGAAGTTGTGGCCGATTTAATCCTGAGACTCTTCACCTCTCAATACAAGTGAATTTGTCCACAAGCGGATCTTGACCGCTCCAACATGGCGGACGCGCAGACGTTTTGCCTCACATAGAGAGCGACAGACATCTCGGTATGTATTTCTATGAGAACCAATAAAATAAAGAAAGTTTCTTACAAAATTATACATAGATGCTATCCAGTTAACCAATTTCTTGCTAAATTTAAAAGGATATCAATCGCAATTGTTCTTTCTGTGATGTAAATCCAGAAACTCTTTCACACCTGTTCTGGCACTGCTCCCACACAAAACAACTTTGGAAGGATGTATGTAGATTTATCATAGATTGTATCGACCCTGATTTTAATCTCTCTTTGGATGTGTTGTTTGGCTTCAGTCATTATAAAAATAATCAAGTCAAAGAATATTATATTATTAATTTGATCATTCTTTTGGCAAAATGTCATATACATAAATGCAAATTTACTCACTCCAAACCAGATTTTCTCAAATTCAAAATAGAAGCTAAACCATACACAACTTCTGTTACCCTCTCCAAAAACAAAAAAGCTGTCAAAACAATGAATATATGCACCTTATTTAATTTGTTTCTGTAAAAACGTGTTCATTCCCCTGGCTTTCTTTCTTTATTTTTTTTTATTATTATTATTATGTTTAACCTTTTTTTGTTTCCATTTTTCATATGCAATTTGTTATCTGACTTAACTACATCTGTTCTGCTTTATACTGCTTTTGTACAAATGTAATTATATAATAAACAATGGGAAAAAAAAGGTATGTATTTCTATGGGACCGCCCCTTTAACGTTTCCATACGCGCACGTCATCCTTACTCACGCGGCACTGACGCAATCAAAGAGGGACGCGCGGCCAGGTTGTCAGTTGATTAGCCGGATGTGTTGAACAACAATGCGAACCGATTTATCTTCTGTTTTTGGTGATTTACAGCGGAGGACATGATAAAGATGAGTCCAGTCAGAAGAAGGAACCCCGTCTGGCAAGTTAAAACCAGGTCTATCTCATCAGTACTCGAGTTATTTTACTGTAGCGTGAGTTAATAAGCTGTCAACATCAGCCAGCCTGTTTGTTAATCTCCTGCCTACCCGTCTGTTTCATTAACATCTCAGGAACTGTTTACAGCGTACATAACTTCGTTAGCCCGTCTACATCACTTATATAACGACGGAATAAGCGCCGTCGACGTTTTTATACTTTTATAAGTCAACTTGTTGTTCGTCTGTTTCTTTCCACGGAAAAAAATCCAATAAGAAGCTGGAGAATAGGAAGCCAGCTTCAGCCGTGTAGATGTTGACTGACCTACCTGATACTACAGCTGCTTAACAGCAGACTTACCGTCTTAAGTCCTAAAAGTCTTCATAGTATTATTAGTTTTATGTATTCAACATGTATTCCTCTTAGATGGAGCCCCTGCAACAGTTAGTGGAGCTTCTTCTCACCTGTGGTTCTACTATATCTACTATGACTACTACATAAAAGGGCCGTTTAGGTTCTTTTTACTGAAGAACATGGGGTGGTTTCTGTTTATCCAGAGATAGCAGTTGGCTGTAAACTGCCTATAGAGGAGTTAGACCAATCAGAAGCAACCAAATAACTATATGCTGTGACATCACAACCACAACTAACCGGCGGTCTGGCATGTTCAGTGTTCAAGTCGCAAGCCAGAAAAAGTGGATGCTCTGGTCTTCATGGCCAAAATATCAGGCCTGGACTTCAATTTGCGTTGCAGTCCCAACATAGATCAGACAAATCGCAATTAGATATGTTTCAAAAATCATTCAGTCCTGCTGAAGTCCCACACTGATAATGAGACCTTTGAAATTAACAACGTATTTTGCTTGACCAAAACTCGACGATGCGAATTCAGCAACGTTTCTTCACTTTTAAACTCCAATTACAAGTCTAGTTACATTTCCCAATTCCTGAGTGGCTGTGTTTCTAAATTTAATTAATCACAGTCATATTTATTGTGATAAATTGCATCACAGCATGTCACAGTATGCTTTTCTGAGCATACTGAGGATATTGTCAGCACTTAAACTTCCCAACTGCATGTTGGATTACAAAGACAGCCTCATTAATCATGTTTTATTGGATTTAATGCAGCACAGTGTGTGAAATGTTGCATACAAATCATTGTATTCATAGTTTTTGATAGTATTTTTTAAACGTGGTACTCCTTTCGTTTTTCCAGTTTATCAGGAGTCAGAAAAAGTGTATATCACGACATGGTGTGCATCATGGAAACATCCTGAATTATCATATTATTACAATTTGCCGTATTGCCCACCTCTAGTGAAATGTATTGGTATTATTGAAGCTTAAAAATACTCATGGGAATGATTTTACTACATATAACCATCCTTAATTTGTAGTTTATAGTGACCAAACCTCACAGAAAATGAGTTAGCAAGCTTGATGTTAACATGGTCTATGATGTGAGACTTTAGACTACATGTTCAGGTGGTTAGCATGCTGATAAATGTTCTTACACTTGTTTCACATGTTAGTATTTCCCACTTTGGCAGGTAAATGTATGTATGACTAAGTGGACAGCTCTAGAAGCTGCCTAAAGACAGTAATGCTAACACTAGCTGTTTCACTGAAAGCTGGTAAACATGCATCTGGCTGGCTGAAGTCAAGGGTGAGCTGACCAACGGGTCACAAAGGCTTGCTGTCAAAACACAGTTTGACAATTGCTCTTTCTCTTGGGCTGAACGTAAACCTGACTCTGTTTTTCAGCAGGTAGTGGGTTCACCTGAAGGAGGAACGACTTCGCACACACATCCGCCGCTGAGTGATATACCTCCATAATGAAGCTCCCCAAACTGGCCTTCATCTTTCTGCTGCTGGGCTGCGTGGTGGTCTACCTCACTTACGTCAAACGGCGTTTTGACAGCAAGGCCTCGCCGTTGTCCAAGCAGCAACTGCTGTATACGACCAAGGTGGACCAGCATAAACGGCCAACGTCGGCAGAGGTGATCAGTGACAATTTCCAGTATGGGATCATGTTTGATGCTGGAAGTACTGGTACCAGAATCCACATCTTCCAGTTTCAGATGGAGCCGAATGGTACGGTTAAATTAAAACACTTACTGCTAAATTAGTTGTCGGTAGAAATTTGCTTATAGGCCTCAAAAATTAAGAATGTTCTGGGGCTATTACTGTTCAGTTTAATGCTCACTGAAGTATTATTGTTTAGTAGATTAGCACGATTTACAGTAATGGCATTTACATGAGTGCTTTGTTGTCTATTGCTGAAATGGTTCTTTAAGGAAATAGATGAGTTTAAATGTACCCTTAAGTTAAGGTCTCGCCAAAAACAGGAAATGGGTCTTATATGCAAATTCATAGTAGTAAATAACAGGGTTTTCACAGGTGCTTAAAAAGTCTCTTCTGAAATACATTTTACAAAAGAATGTATTAGTAACTATTAAATGCTCTTACATTTTATTGATATGGTCTTTTTTATAAAATTTATAAAATTTTTATTAAATTCGAATCCACTCCCCAGTCCATACAGTCCAAGCTGCAAAAAGAGCCTGTTTGTAATTGATTGATTTTGTGATGTCACAAAAACCAACACATTTACATACATCCTGGTATTCAGCCTACTTTAGCCCCGCCCATTAATGCTGAAGTTATGCAGAGCTTTTCAGCCCCAGCTGCTTTTTGTGTGAGGCACAACATGGACCAATCAGAACAGAGCTAATTTACAAATCAGCCTTAAAGGTACAGTAACAAAAAAGCCTGTTTAATTCTATGAGATTGGAAAATCTTCATGTAAAACATCAATTTTTGATGTGAACGTGGATAAGTGGACATAAGTGGACCTCAGGGCAGAAAAATGTAAGATCTGGACCCTTTAATATGACGACTGAATGCCGAAGTCAGGGTTGTGCTGAATCTGTGCGAATGTGGCTCTGTTCTGCCTCCGGTTTGCCTGCCTTTATTAGGCTTACCCGGCCAGAGGCAACTTTCAGCAGTGCTCTGCCAATGGCTTAGTTATCACATCATAATATTAAGCTAAATCAGTTAAGTGCTGCTTTGGGCTTTATTGTTAAACCTATGATTGTCATATTATAATGGATGGCAAGCACCTGCCATTTATGTTAATATTTCTCTAAGCCTGTGCTATTTGGCACACACGCACTCACACACAGTCACACTCGCTCCACTTAAGCCTGATGGAAGAGAGGGAGGTAGTTGAAAAGTGAGGTTTTTATCTTGGACCAAAGTATTTGTTTATATCTGCTATTATATGATTACGCTAAAACTTTGACTCGCATATAAACCCCTGTCTTTTTTCCAGCATAGTCACAGTAGTTAATCAAAATCTCTTAATGTCAGAGTCCTAAATGTCCTCTTTGGCCCAGATTTTGAGCACATGGGTTTTATATAATCTGTTTCCATACAGTTTGGATGTGGTATCAGTGAATATTATATAAAACAGTGTTGCCAATCTCCAATTTTGGAGGACCAGAAAGCTGCAGAGGGCTTTCCATGCTATAGTGTACAAGTAAAAACTTTCATATTGAGATTAGACGGATGGATTGATGGATAAATAAGGTGCTGCTAACCCTGAAATAAGCATATATAAGTATAAGTAGGTACAATAAATCTGCAGTGATTACTTGGCATTTTTATGATGATAATGCATATTTTTTTTGCAAATACGTATTTCGATTGGTCCGTTCATCTTGAAATTGCAAAGGGTAACTGGAATTTTCAAATTATGTGAAATAGTAACTGCTAAAAAACTAACATACAAGGTTTTTACGTGAGACCAAATACATATATATATGTGTAAAAAATATGATTGCCCTGTTTAATCATGGACAACCTGACCTGTTGTTTTTTTTTCTCTTCTTTCAACAGAGGCTCCTAAATTAGCACATGAGACGTTTAAAGCAATAAAACCTGGACTTTCTGCATATGCGGATGATCCAGACAAGGTAGGCATGAATGCAAGAAACATTTCAAAAAAAAATAAAACAAATATCTCACCAGAAAATATGAAAGGTTTGTGTTAACTAACATTGTGCTAATTAGGTCTAAGTGATTCCTATGCATTTCTCTGCTGCAATAGCAATTATTCTTGAAGTTAAGTGGTTGAGATCAACTTGATACCCTACAGAGCTTTTGACTGATGTCGAATAGATGTTTACTGTGACTTTCAAACAGGTGTGTTGTGTTTGCAGTTTGATAGCTGAGCCCATATGCCGCACACTGTTATAGTGTGAATGCTAATCAATGATTACATTTTCCTACTCACATTTAAAGGCTCACAGTAAATAAAAACGATCAAGGCCTTTCCATTTATTATTAGCAGCATGAACATTATGTTTTTATTACTGTGAGACATTTAATAGGACTGTTCAATTAAAAATCTAATTTATACAGTTTTCCCCCTTACCCCAATGTTTTAGATCAGCACAGACACACTGTAGTTACAAGGCTAATGTAGCTAACAAGTAATAGAAGATCATAGCTACTATTTAGCATTATAAAAATAAATCAACACACAGTTTGAACACCTCTGGTCCAGTTATGTAACATTTAGTTTTACCGAGGGTCACACAACTGTAATTATTCTCAAATAGTTTTGCTTATGTGGGAGTTAAAAACAGTAATAGCAGCCTTCTTGACAATCTTTTTTTATTTGTACTTTTGTCCATTTTTATAGTGAACAGTACGCCGTACAGTGGAAACAACACAGTAAAGTCCATTAGAGATTAGATCAGGGCTGTACATGGTTTGAAGCGAGTGCATGGTCATTTAGACATGCAGTTAGCAAGTCTGGGCTTTGTACATATTTTGGTCCATCTTTATAGATAACAGTATGTTGTACAAGCATGCAGTTTTCACAGTGATTACCGGTGACTATAACTGTCCACTGCTTGTTAGCCTCATAGCCCCACTGCTAAACTAAAGAAGCAAACATGTCTTGGCTGTTTGACTACATTTTAAGTAAGAGAAAAAAATAAAAATTTGACTTTTGACCAAATCATCACTTTGATGACCAAGAAGCAAATGCTAATGTGGCTGATGCTGCTGTTTTGCAGTGCAAAGCAGGGCTGTTACAGCTGTTGGAGGTGGCGAAGGAAGTCGTCCCTGCTGGTCTTTGGGCCTCCGCCCCTCTGGCCCTCCGAGCGACCGCAGGACTCAGACTGCTGCCGGGGGAGAAAGCGTCCCACCTACTGGACAAGGTCAGAGCACTTCACACGTCTTTAAGAAACATCCACAACCAAAATAATTATTTTGCTAGTTGATGTAATTATTTGTGTGTACTTACTGTATGAGGTACATTTACATTCCATATACAACATCTCTATCAACAGCTTTAAGTCTGCACTTCATTTCCCAGCCCAAACAGTCTGTACAGTCCAGTTGAAATATAATTAGAAGCTGCAAAAACATGTTAAATTCACTGCTTTTGTCATGTCACACATTTACATATATCTGTCTTATTCAGTCTACAGCCGTTCAGCCCCACCCATTCATGTTGGAGGATTTAATTTACATATATCAGTCTTACAGGCACAGTATCAAAAATAGCCTGTTTACTTCTAAGGGATAAAGATAGGTTGGAAAATGGTCACAAAAATAAATTATATACCACTTTATAGAATATAAACCTACACAAATGTTATAAGTGGACTTCAGGGGAAAAAAATAAATGCAAGAAAAATGTAGTATATAGACCCCTTGAGATATGAGCAAAGAAATCAAAACCATTTTTCTTAAGCAAAACTGTACACACACAACTTTTAGTCTAATTGAAATCAGTTTAGAGTTTGTACTTTTCTCGAATTTTCTTTGCTTGTTTCAGTGAGATATAAGTGAGAAATTATTGCACAAAATGTAAGAAGAAGCATTTGAAGTGTACACCATCAGAAACCTAGGAGGGTTAAATGAAAAAGGATGATACCATTTATATGCTCGATCAAGGCCGAATCATGAGACTCAATATGAAGGCTAAATGTAAGATGCGTCCCTACTAAACACGCTGTGTTACAAAGTTTGAAGTTAAACAAATAACAAAATCCCTTTTTATAGTTGGTGATTTTCCTAACAGTCAGCCATATCAGCTTGTAGAAGATGAACATGTTCTTGTCTTCAGGATTTCTATTTTTACTCTGGCTTTATCAGCCACTTGACGTTTGCCTTTGTGAAGTGGAATAGCACTGACGCACTATTCATACCACCAGTTAATCAGGTTTGTCCTGAACTGTGTCCTGAACTGTGGCTGTGCACACCTATTCCACCTCTGCTGGACAAAGTTAATGCCCTTAAATTGATGGAATGTGTGTGTGTGTGTTCGTGTGTGTGTATGTATATATGTATATGTGTGTGTATATATATATATATATATATATATATATATATATATATATATATATATATATATATCCCTCCCAAGATATATTTATGAATGAATATGTGGCTGAATTTTGCTCCTTTTGAAAATATTCAATTGTGTAAAACTGCTGCAGGGGTGCCTAAAATTATTGTCTTGGGCAGTCAAAGTGCAGTGTTTGTGGTGGTAAAATGAAAAAAAAAAAATACAAATAAAGAAGGCCGGCAGGTTTCAAATTAGGTTTTCCAAATGTGGTTTATAGCGTTATATTTTGTAACTGAAATACAATTTGACAAGACTAGAAATAAAAAAGAAGTGAATAAACTACAGCAGTCCCCGATGCCAATGTAGAACTGATTGGTCAGCCTGATTATAAATGAATTCGTCGAAGTAGAACATCAGACAAATTCTGTTTTAAGTTTTAACACACATTGTGGTCTGACAGATTCTGCGAAAGATGGAACTAATATGTATGCGTACATTTTTATTCATGTAAGTAAACAGTATATCCTCACAGCTTAACAGTGTATCTTCACAGCCCTTCATTTATCTTATTACAATAATGCTTCAAGCAAGGACACACACCCACATCAAATGACACAGCTTTAGCTAACCTCCTCATTCCTACAACTGTCCTTGGTACCTGGCTAGTTGCACTCCTCGCGCATGCGCTTTTCAACGAGGTGACTCGGTCAGTCAGTCGGTCAGTCAGTGAAAATGCTGGAAAAATGCAAGAAAAAATACAAATTTGATCATTTTGTCTTTGTCCTCTTGGTGAAGTGGTGGCATTAGTGTAGCTTTCCAGTCAGCCAAATCGAACTTGCATAGGCAGCATTGATATACTGCGTAGTACAGTACTGGCACTGTAGGTAAAAAGCTGTTAGTTTTAACTACTAACTTTAACTAAACTAAGTTTCTCTCTCTCTCTCTCTCTCTCTCTCTCTCTCTCTCTCTCTCTCTCTCTCTCTCTCTCTCTCTCTCTCTCTCTCCTCCCTAGGTGAAGGAGGTGTTTGGTGAATCTCCATTTCTCAGTGGGCCAGAAAGTGTATCAATCATGGATGGTACAGATGAAGGTATGTGTGTTCACCTTGGTCAAAATTGTTGCTACATCATCCACAAAGTGTATGTAATGCATCTACGTCCATGTCTGCGCCAACCCTTTGCATGTAACATTGAGTGCTCCTGCTTTAAAGACCGTGTCCTGTCCTAAGACCATGGCGTGATAAACTTGACCAAGCTGAATCCTATCTTGGTTCAAGTTCAATAATTTGGACAGTTTGTACCTTTACACGTATGAATGTCTTTGCACTGTACACTTCACACTAGCAGTTTGCAGTATGGACAAAAATGTAGTAATAATTTCTGACAGTTTATATATATATATATATATATATATATATATATATATATATATATATATATATATATATATATATATATATATATATTATACTAAGTGGTTTGATGAACACTTCCTTCTAGAGAAACTGAGAGTCAGAATTGTTCACAATGGTGGTGATTGGAACCAGACATCCACCTCTAAAAGCTCAGAAAGGTATTATAAGAATTGGTTGTGATGCACTGCCTGATGTCTGAGACTTTGTTTGATGATAGATTTGAGAAGATTTTGGCTTTAAACATATTTTTAAATCATTTAAATTCACCTTAAACTGATCTGTTTACATCTCAATGTCTAAAATATCCAAAAATCAGTGGAATTTCTCTAAACCTCAAATGTAAAATGTAGCAAGCAAGGAGCTTTTAGAGGTGGACGTCTGGTTCCTATCACCACCACTGTGAACAGTTCTGACTCTGTCAGTTTCTCTAGAAGGAACTGTTCTCGTCAAACCACTTTGTTTACATTTAAAGCATTAAATTATACAGAAATTTTGAAAAATCTACAGAATTCCTCTTTATGAAGGCAGAAGGAGACTAAAAATCGTTCATACAAGGTGTTTCTAATAAACTGGCTACTATCTGAGTGTACAATCGCCACATTCTTTGATGCCTGTAATGGAAAGCCAGCAAATGTGAGGCCCACAGCTTCTCTCACGTTTTACCATCCAAAACAAAGCGACAAGTTGCAAAGTGCAAATTTGTTGTGTAATGGCTCCAGTCGTATAGATATTGCGGTATATAATGCATATATAAGGCCTTAATCCAATCCTCTAAAGTAGTTCTCCAAAGCAGTAACGAGTGCACTGGATAATGTCCCTACGTAATCTCTGCAGACGGATTATCTGCCATTAATTTGCCAAGCATCAAATGTCGATTTCTTTAAAGACACATAGCTTTAAAAGGCAGCCATGTGTTCTTTGTTTTAAGGAAACGCTGATTTGCTGTATAAAGCATGTAAAAGCTCTCTGTTCATGCATCATTTCGAAACGTGTGAGGTGGTGTTGGTGGCTGAGAGCAAAATTTGAGTTATTTCTCTAACCAGATTTCCTCCAGGCTGATTACGGGCGAGATTGTGGGCTCTCCTGGCCGCCGCTTATCCTCACAGATTACTGCGTCTCTGTGAATCATACAGACTTATTGTTAATGCAGGGCCTAAGTGGTATTTGTGAGTTCGGAGATGGAAAGAGTTTATGGCCGCTAAGTGACCGTTTGCTCGTTTCCCAAGCGCCAAAGCCCCAAACTTTTCATGTTTGTTGTCAATTTAGACCACTTCTTAACGATTTAGAGGAGTTTTAACTCAAAGATCCTGCCGTGCACTTATGGATCTTGGTAAAGCAGCCTCGGTCACGCTTAAGAACGGATGGATAAGCGCTCTTAAAGCATGCAAAATGTAGCACATGTTGTTTTGACTGTATAGAAACAGTTTATGGAAGTCATAATGATGGTATTATGGTGAATTAACACGACTTTACTCACAAGATGCAAACTAATGTTTGTATTCGTTTTTTTCCCTCTTAGGGGTCTCTGCTTGGATCACGGTCAACTTCTTATTGGGTGAGAGGCTTCTTCACAATTCTATCAGCTCCGCTGTCTTACGTGCTAATAGGAATAATAGTGCCTAGTTTTCCTGCCTCAAACATTTTCGCACTTGAGCTACAAGGCTACTTTAGCTTACAAATGATGGAAGCGTATACCCCAACAATTGGCATCAGGTTTAAGTCAAGTGCATACTTGCCTCAGACTGTGTCTATTTGTTCAGTATTGTCTAATAGACTTGTTTAGAAGGGTTCTAGCAGTTTGACATACTATTATCTATAAACATGGACAAATGTTCTGACAAAATTCAGACGTCCAGGTGGTTGCTGCTACTGATTCTATATATGTAATTGCCATTTTTGTTGCTGACTTTATAGATAAAGATGCAATTTATTTTTCACAGAGGTGTTCCTTTAAAACTTTTTAATGGGGTAACCATACTCACAAAAAAACTGACCACCGTTTCTAATTCTACCACCAAAGGGTCCACATCCTACAATTTCCTGCATTATATATTTTTCCCCCTGAGGTCCACTTAATGTTAGTTTGATTTTATGTACCAAAAACAGTCACCATTGGTTTTTACATGACGATTTTTCAGCCTGTCTTTATCTCTTAGGGCTCCTAGACGCTTTGAGCTACAAAGACGGGGTTTCGCGTCTAGTTGCGTTTAAAAATGTCATGATGCATTTCATAATGTAACGTAAGCGCAAGCTGCATTCTGAGCCTTGCAGCAAGGGGCACTATAACGACAGCCAAGCCTGTCCAAGTGATCTTGTACCGCCAGCGTGCTTTCTCGACTGCCGTAGCTGATGAGTAGTTGAGCCTCACGCAAAGATGGCTTACATAAGCATAAAAAATATCATGCATTATCGCATTTCCATTCCAACAGAAGAGGTAAAGCAGCTCTCTCTACTCGTACACGTTTAGCTGTTGAGGCTGCTGGAATAACAGCAGATCCCTCTCTGATTTGCCCTTTATCGCCCCCTTCAGTACTGAGTGTTTTAACCAGCACAGTAATGTAAGAACGCGCAGTAATTTTGCGCAGAAGGACTGAGCATTTGCAGTGCGTTGGCTGAGTGCTGTCATTTGCGTTCGCATTCTTGCGTTGAGTATGTTTCTGGCCTTAGACTTGCACAGGCTGTTTTGTTACTGTGGCTCTATTCGGGATTGGCTGCCCTGTATTGTCCCTCATTCAAAACGCAGTGCAGGCTGAAACACTCCTTATGACTTCAGTGTGAATGGGCAGGGCTAAGCTCTTGTAGGCTCAGTAAAGGCATATGTAAAAATGTTTTGGTTTTCATGACATCACAGAAACGGTGAATTCAGAACAGGCTGTTTGCAGCTTATTTTCCATATTTGGACCACATGGACTAGGTAGGAAACATTTTGAAACTTCAGCAATAAAATACTACGGCAGAGTGTTTTAACAGATAAAATTAAGGTTTTCCTGATATGGAAAATTATTTTTAAACTGTTAGATTTTGTTGTTGGCATATTGAATGTTAAAAAATATGTGGCACAGTTTTTGGACATTTTTGTTCAGCCATTTTCGGGTGAAACTTCTGTGCATCCCATAATCATCGGTATGCAGGTCATTATGGTGGTTCAGTTCAGGTTGAAGCCCCCTTTTTGACCCCCCTTCACAGCTTTGGATTTCGTTCCCTAAGCTAACAAGCTTACGTCTGGAACAGGACCAGAACGCCAGACAAGAATTTCTGATTAACTGTTATTGGATTTATGTTTTACGAAATGCAACAACCATCCCGCCATCACTAACCTCTCTTTCCCTCACCCGCTTTTCTTTGTTTCTCTCCCCCTTTCTCTCCTTACCTCTCTCTCTCTCCCAGGTGGTCTTCACGGATCCAAAACTCCGACAGTCGGAATGTTGGATTTGGGAGGAGGCTCGACCCAGATCACTTTCTCACCACAAGACGAGGTGGGACACAGACACATACATGCTAGGGCAGTAACAAACGACTACTACTACAACTAACCTGTTGATTATTTTCTTAATTAAGAGACTAATGCTAGTGCTTTGGTTTTAAATTACACTGCATCATCATCAGCATCCTGCTGAGAAATGGCATCTTTGCTTTACATTAGGCTGAAAAGATGCATTTTTGTGCCATATTTGTGCCAAACACTGCTAACTGTTATGCAGTTTTTGTCAGATTTTACTGATGTCAAACATGTTTTTGAAAGTGGCTATCAGTTTTGGGTTCTCCCTATTGAAAGAAGTTGGAGGCTGGTCTTCTGTGCCTGGGAATACCTGTACAGAGTCTTTACCAAGATAGGCAGACTATCCCAAACAGATGTTATGGTACAGCAAAAATAATAGAAGCTATGTTTCCCTCTGTGTTTCCTGTACTGTATTGCATTCTGTGAGAATGACCACTTGTAAACTAGCCAAATAAAAAAAATACTCAATTAAAATAAATAAAACAACTAACTAAAACCATGATGGTAATAACTAAAATGATAATTCTAATTGGTTAGTGTGTATGTGATTCATACCTAAATTATTGTTTAAAGTGTGAAGTAACACATCGCCACTGTCGGAACAAAACCTTGTATCTCCAAAGTGAACTTTACAGTAGAAAGAAAAAAAAACAACTTTGCTCTTAATGTAAATCAATGGAACCAGATTTTTTTCCAAATAAATTGGGGCGTTTCTTTTGGTCCTTTCATGATGAAATTCAAACACAATGTAAAGGACAACAGGTATTTTCAAATTATGTAAAAACTTGAAAAACAACAAAAATGGAGATACAAGGTTTGATCCCTACACAGCACACCCAGTGGTGATGCTTCATAATGAATCCGTATCTTCGCAAACTATGGCGATGGCCTCATGCCTTATACTGTAATCTGCAAATGCCCTGCTAATCCCGCAGGCCTGGTAAATAAGGGTTGTTGGACATAGAGAGAGGGAGGCAGGGCGATATTCTTGTTCTTTAACTAGGTCAGAGCATGTAGAGGAGGGATTGAGGACCAATTTATCATGTCATTACCCGTCCTCTCGCTTCCGCAGACGGGCCGCGTGACGGCTTTACCAGCAAAATTGGTTTTGCGGGTTGCAACTTACTCAGGATTTTCTTCTTACTGTTGTCCATCAGATATTTTTTGTTACATGGCTTAATACCAATTATACGTCATTGTGGAATCATGTTTGACAAGCAGCTGGAATTAGAAAATACGCTGTGCAGACCATCACCCAGTCCTCACACAGAGCTGCACAAACAAATCCTTCACAGCTCAGCCACACAAATATTTAGATGTTTTTTATGAAAAGGCTGTTTTGGATAACTCCTCCTTGTTTTATATGTTGTGATTCTTTACAGAAAACCATCCAGACGTCACCGATCGATTATGTGACATCATTTCAGATGTTCAACACTAGCCACTCCCTCTACTCACACAGGTAAAGTGGGCGGGGCTTGGAGTGCTCTCACCTGGACAGTATTATTATAAAATGGCTTAAGAACAAAGATGCTGGTGTGGATGTCGTCTCTATATAAGCAAATGCATCACATGTTCACTGGATTAATATACAGTATATACAGTATACAAAAATGTTGGGACATGCTAACTCAGAATGATTTTAATTCTTTTTCTTTTCTTTTTCCACTTTTTGATATTCATGAGAAACTATAACTGCTACAAAAGTGTACAATCAAGACCTATGAGCACAATGGGCTTCATTCGCCAACTGTTCTTAAGAAAAAAATTCTTCTTAAAACCCACTTAAGCAGTTTTCACGAAGGTTCTGGCACTCACCAATGTTTTCTTATTTGGGATTTGTTCTTGGGTAAGAACAGAATCTAAACACACTCAAAAGCACAAAATGTTTGCCCTCGTTTAAGGACAAACATAGGAAGATACTGGTGATTGAGGCCCAATGATTTTTATTAAATAGTTCATACAGTTGTTCACAGTGGTGGTGATAGGAACCAGACATGTGAATGTTAATGCCTTTAAAAACTCCCATAGAGACATTTATTATATGAAACTCTTTCAGATTTTCAGATTCATGCCTATTTATCACCAGCAAATCTAATCTCAGAAGAGGTTCTCTGGTGGTTTTGGATAGTGAATAAAATGGCTATATTTGTGTTGTAGACATTGGTTCCTGTCACCACCACTGTAAAGAAATCTGAGTCTGTAAACAGTCTGCAAACTGTTCTGAATGACTTTGTTTACATTTCAACCACTGAAATATACAGACGTTTTGAAAAGTCGGTGGAAATTTGAGGATATTGACATAACATATTGAGGAAAAAATAAATCATAAAATGTAGCATGTACAAAAATTTATGGCACATTCCCCCCAAAATGTTAAACTCAGCAAATAAAGAGAAATTGTGCCCTAAAATTAACAGAAAAATACCATATTTAAGGGTGTTCTCTGTAGAGGATGTTTGAACTTATTTTTACTTAGAAAATCAGCAAAACACAATTTGAGGCAGTTTTGATGTGTTCACTGTTAGTGGAATGTGGAAATTTGTTAAAATTTGTAGAAACCTGAGTATGAATAGGCGTGTGGTATCCAAACCTTTGCCTGCTGCTGTATTTCAGCAGTTCTTGATTAGGGATTTAAATGGTGGACCCTGCTTCTCCATGACCACCAGACGAATCTGTCAGCTCCATCATTAGACTGGATAAATCAGTTCCTCAAATACAGCTGTGTGTGTGTGTGTGTGTGTGTGTGTGGATGAGAGAGTGAGAGAGGATGTGCGTGTGTCTCTCGGCTCTCTCTCATGATTAGAGCATAAGCACTCAAGCCTCCAATTAGAGCGTCTGAGCAGGACCTTAGATTACTAGATTACTGCTATTCACAGTGTTGGCTTCTAATGATCCCTCGTAGCGTATTCCAATAAAGCTCTACCCCAAGATGACCAAAGGCTGACTTAGAGGGGAATCCCACAGATTTTTCAAAATTTATGAATAATTCAGTTGTTGAGATATAAACAAAGTCATTCCGAGTGGTTTGATGTGAACTGATTTCTTGTACAGAAACCAGGGGTCGCCATGTCTATACGTTTTGTTTACTATCCAAAACCATCAGTGAACCCACGTGTCTTCTGAGTTTTATATGAAATGTTGAAGATGGTAAAATACTCATAAATCACACAATAAATACAGTTTGCCTTACAATGCCTTGCATGTACCTCTCGGCCATGAGTGAATTAAAACATATGTTTTAAATGGAAATCTTTTTGCATTCTTCTCAGCCGTTGGGCAACATATCTGTAAGTAATAAGTTCCCATGAGGGAGGTTTTAGAGGCACTAAACACTTCAGATGTCTGGTTCCTATCACTACCACTGTGAACAGTTCTGACTTTCTCTAGAACGGAGCATTTCACACCAAACCACTCTGAATGACTCTGTTTACATCTTAACCATGTAATTATGCAGAAAAGTTTAAAAATGGAATTAAAAAGTGGAATTCTCACTTTAAGTAATCTCAGATATACTTGCTTATATTTTGACACTGTATGATATGTTTTATTCTCCTTTAGATTGTATTTATTGGCCTTCCTGTAGATTTTGACTCTAGAAGGTTTGTAGTTTCATGCTGTGAATGTAGGTTGCAGCTATTGGAAGTGATGAATGTTTAGATGGGTCCTTTCTAACTTGTGGCTCATTGAAAGAAGCCAAGAAACTGTGTGGAAAGTACAGAATGCAGAGTTTTAATCCGTACCACTTTAGTGATTATAAGGAGAAGAGCAGATATTTTGTTGTGATTTGAATTTGACAGAAGGTTTTTGTTACGTACAGCCTTATTTTGCACAAAGAAAACAAGTTCTTGACATTTTCAATCAAACTCAGAGGCAAAATTTGAACCTGTTGATACAGAAATCGAATGAACATGTGATTCAATATGTAACTTATATGTATATGTAACAATGTGTAACAGTATTACTAAATATATACTTAAATAATTAAGTTTCAATAATTATTTAACGTAAATCTACATACTTAAAAAGATGGTTCTTCAGTAAAGAAAATGGTTCAATATAGAACCATAAACACTCAAAGAACCCTTTGCATGATTAAAGCCATCTACTACATATTTTCCATCAATCTGAAGAACGCTTTCATGATGCAAAGAACCCTTTAATCATGCAGAGGGTTCTTTGAGTGTTCATGGTTCTATACAGAACCATTTTCTTTACTACAGAACCCTTGAAGAACCATCTTTTTTAAGAGTGTAAGCTTCTGTCTTGGTTTCATTAGACTTCCACTGTTTTTGGAAATGCATTCTTGTTTTTGTGCTGAAAATGTACAAATGAAACGTGAATAAGTAACAGTATTTGTTTGCCCCTCTTTCTTTAGCTACCTGGGTCTGGGTTTGATGTCGGCCAGACTTGCAGTGCTGGGAGGGATTGAGGGACAGCCTGGTATGTGCTCTTCAATCTCCGCTCATCTTTGGCTTTTAAAGACCTCATTTCCCCCGATAAATAAGCCATTATCTAATCTCTTAATAACACTGAAGATTAATTCCTTGGAGGCCAGCTGTTGCACTGATTTAGCGAGGGGCCTCGGGCTCAAAGAGAAACTGCCGTCACTGGACACGCAGGTCACTGCTGGGATTTGCATTTTATACACTTGAAATTTTAATCAGATTCTCTTTGTTTATTGTTATTTTTTTCAAATTATTATTATTTTTTGGTGGCTGTTATGTAACACTATCCTGCTGCTGTCTGTATGGTTTGTAGTTATTGGTATTAAAAGGTATGTGCGTGGTTTGGTCACTAGATGGCATTGTAAGTCTGTCCCTGTAGATTCTAGCGTCCACAGGGGGGCAGTATTTTGCTGCTCTCTCCTGAAAGGAGTGACTGTGGATATACTTAAATATGATCAAATTTACTTTTTTCTTTTGAGGTCCACTTATAACATTTGTGTTAAAAGAAATAGTCATAATTCACTTTGACATGACAATTTTCCAACTTCCCTCAACCCTTAGAATCAAACAGGCTGTTTTTGTTACCGTGCCTTTAAGATTGATATGTAAATGAGCTCTGTTCTGATTAGCTGCTCTGTATGGTGCCTCAGAAGTACCCAGAGGTGAAACACTGTTTAGAACTTCAGTATAAAACAGAGGCTAAACTGCTGTAGCTGAACAGGTGGAGATATGTAAATGAGTTCTTGTGGCATCATAGAAACTGTGAATTCAAAACAGCTGTTTTTGCACATTAGTTTCCACATATGGACTGTATGGAGTGGGTAGTGAACGGTGTGCAGTGTAAACAGCATTTACACATGACTTCAAACACCTTGATTTTAAAAACAAATGAGGAAAGTTTGGTATGATATGGGCCCTTTAATGCTAAATGAGCCCTTTAATGCTAAAATAACATTTAACTACAAGGACATTCACAATCACTTTGATTGAAACATCCAACTGCAGTAGACTGGACAGTTATCTAATGAGCTGATTAGCAAGGTGTGATGTAGCAGCAAAACTCAATCATGCACACTTTTAAACTGGCTATGCTACTTTTAGTGTTTGATGTAATTGCGTTTTTCTTCCAGCGAGCAATCAGGAGCTGGTCAGTCCGTGTTTGGCTCCAGATCATGCCAGCGAGTGGGAGCATGCAGAAGTCGTCTACAAGCTGAAGGGCCAAAAAGCAGGTATGTGATGGTCTCAGCTCAGTTTATGCACTCTCCCCCAGCGGCTCTGTCCCAGTTTGAAGGTGCCCCACTTCTCCAGATGTCTAGAAAGACTGCCTCAGCCCTACTTCAGTGCCACATTTTCAGTTTTGTCTGTGCTTAATTATATTTAGAATTCAGTCAACCTTTATTCAGACTCAGCGTTTGTAAAGGGTGACCCTCATTTGAAGTGTAGCCAAGCTTTAGAACAGAGAATAAAGGGTTGAAAATATAGACTATAATAAAAAGGTAAAACATGAGAACATATCAAACCATTTAGAAGGCAAAATAAAGTGTAAACTAGACAGAATTACCAAAGAGTAGGTCAAATAAATAAATTAAGCTAAAGTAAATTTAATAAAACTAATAGAAATGCTAAAAGCAGTTCATTTGTTGTATTTTAATTAATTGAAATTAATGTATTATTTATTTTAATTAATTGTATTATTTATATGTATTATAAAGTAATTAATCAAATAAGAACAAACTTGGATCATATAAAGCAGTTGCAGGGACTGGAGGTGGTTAGAGATGAAAAGTTTTTAAAATGCTTGAGTGACATTAGTAAGTGGAGCTTTCTAATATCCTGTAATAAATTCCAGTAAAAGCAGATTTTCCCAGTTCAGTAAAAGCTCTCAGCATCTGAAGCTTAGTTTCCATATAGCTTTCTTCATCATTAAAGCTCATTATTAATAAACACTTTCACCTAAATGGCAATTTAAAGGCTGGCTGAAGTCTTTTAATCATCCGTTCACTTGATATTCCCAGTTTCTACATATCCAAAACATATTTTCTCTGATAATCATGCTGCGTGAACTGATTGCTTTTTGCTTTCTGTGTTTCAGGAGAGCCTATTTACGAATCGTGCCTGAGTAAAGTGGAGAAGATGATCTATAAACGAGTGCGGAAAGCCGAGGAGGTGAAAGACATGGAGTTCTATGCCTTCTCCTACTATTACGACCGCGCTGTGGATCTGGGCCTCATCGGTACGTATTTAACCCCTCAGAGAAGAGCAGCTGTTCTACCATCTCCTGATCACTGTATTCAGATGTGCCAATGAGACAATATGAGTAGAACATAGAAGTTGAACATCTGTTTATTGCATGCAGCCAGCATGAAAGGTCAATGGTACCTGATACCCTGCAAAAAAGTGGCATCTTGTGAAGTAAATTTATCTTAAATATAGTCAATAAATCTCAGTTGCTCCTGTTGAGATTGTTGTAATCTTAAATTAAGATTATTTACCTTATTTAGAGACGTTGTTTACTTGTTTTAAGTAATTTTAATAGGTATCTCACTATATTGGCAATTAGTTTTGCTTGTTTTAATCTGCCAGTATAGGGAGATAATTGTACTGAATAAAATGACCTAAAACAAGTGACTAATGTCCAGAATTAAGATAGATAATCTTAAAATAACTGCACACCAATCTCAAAATGGGAAATATTAGATATATAGACTAGATTTAGATCTTTTCACTTAAGTTACCATTTTTTGCAGTGTACATGTATAGAAGGTTAAAGAAAAACATGAAAATCGTTAAGGCTGCTTGTCTCCCTCGCACACCCTTGTCTTTCTGACTCAGATGAGAAGACTGGAGGCTCCATCAAAGTGAGCAACTACATTGAAGGTGCCAAAACAGGTATAACCATATGTTTATGCTATCTGATTTCACTGTATGTAGTGTATACAGTGCAGTTCATAAGTGATTGAGTGTGAAACAGGTCTTGGCTCTGAACTCCAGCACACTGGATGTTTTATTTGTTTTATTTCTTATCTCTCTTCCAGTGTGCTGGAGTTCAGAGGCCAAAACTGTCCAATTACATATTAAGAGCACTATATTGTGAGCGTTATCTAGTACAGATCTCTTTAAAAGAGATTTTCAGGAGGAGGGAAAAAAACAGTGAATATCTCTTGAATACAAAAGGGTATGTTAATGCATGGATTCTAGTAGAGCTGAGCAATATGACAAAAATATAATATTGTAATACTTAAAGAAATTTTCACAGTACACGATATCTCATGATATTTATTTTTTCAGACATCTCATCAGTTGGAACAGAGAAAAAAGAACCAGTAGTGCTACATTTTAAAAATATTATCAAAAACTATGATACCAATATTTTTTTTGTCAGTATTTGGCTTTAAATCCAGTTAAACATGACTAATTTTGCTCTCTTTATAATGAAACATGCAGTTGGTCAGTGTCGTCAAGTAGTGATGATTCCACAATATTTTCAGAAAAGTATATTGTATTGTATTGTGACATAATTTGTCATGATTACAATATATATTGTCATATTGCCCAGCCTTATATGTGAATTGTGTCTCTATGATATGTTTTAAATGGATGTTGAGTAAGTGTGTGCATAAACAGTGTGATTAAACCATTTTGTGTGTTGTGTGTAGCGTGTAAGAACATGGAGGCTGGAGCTGGGGACAATCCTTTCCTCTGTTTAGACCTCACCTACATCTCAGTGCTGCTGCAGGAGCTGGGTTTCCCTCAGGACAAAGAGTTTAAGGCACACAAAACACAAACACCTGTTTACCTTCATTCTGTAGTCTATAACTCTATAGTGCTTAAAACTGACATGGTTCCCTCCTTTATACAGATATAGTTGATCAGCCAAGAAATGTTTGGTGTTTGGTTTGCTTCTTAAAGCCCCTATCTGCTCATTGTCATGATTTTCATCTAGCTATTATCTATAGTTTTCTGATCTTTCACTGGCAGAGAAAGAATGGTGCTGGTCTTTTCTGTTGAGATTATTAGCCTCTTAACTGCAGTGCAAAACTAATAAATCACACTTAAGACACCAAACATGTCTTGGCTGGTCGACTGCATTTGGGGTACGGGGGAAACCTGTACATTTGATTTTGTGGCAAACTATTGCTTTAATGCTAAAACCAGGAATTGCTGGATCTTACCAGACGGCCTGTTGGTAATCATTGTTACTCCTTAGGTAGCCTTTATGCTTTTTCTGGAGCAGAAAATAACTATGGCTTTTTTGCTATTTCAATTTCAGCTGGCCAGAAAAATCAACGATGTGGAGACTAGCTGGGCTTTGGGAGCCACGTTCTACTACATGGAGTCTCTCCGTGCACATTAACCAGTCAGGAAGACCAGCGTGGTGCCAGTGACCGACTGCTGCCTTTAGCCTCGGAAGAACTAACTAATTTCTGGATTAGACAGTTCTGTTAATACAGTGTCCACACAGAGTCGTTGTTCTCTGATGTCTTAAGAGGGTTGAACAATAGGAATCAAAGCACTAACCTGTGGCCAGATTCACAAAAGTATCATAAAAGGAAAGTTCAGCAAGTTTCTGGTTGAGATGTAAAAGTCATCAGAGTGGTTTGGTGTGAAATGGCTCATTCTAGAGAAACCTACTCAGATTTCTTCACAGTGGTGGTGATAGGAACACAAATATAGCCAGTTTATTTACTATCCAAAACCTCCAGTGAACCTACACAGGTCTTCTGAGTTTTATATGGAATGATGATGATGGTAAAATAGTGGTAAATCTGAAATGGTGACTGTGTGGCCTGTAGGTACGTCTCTGCCATGAATGTATTTTTAAAGATGTATGTTTTAGGCCAATAATCTTCTCAAAGCCTCCTCAGAACTATCATAAAACAATGTCTTTCTGAGAGGGAGCTTTTAGACTCTTTAAAGGCATTAAACTCTTCAGACGTCTGGTTCCATTCACCACCACTGTAAACAATTCGTTATGTTTCTCCAGAGCGTTTCACACCAAACCACTCTGAATGACTTTGTTTATATTTTAAACATTCTAATATAAAAATGTAAGTCTTTTTAAATGTTTATTTTTCCTTCAAATTGTTTCGAAATTTCTCTTAAGAACAATTTTAACAGGGTTTATTCCTGAAAGGGATGTTCTTAACCTATTTTCTTAACCTTATGATGACCTGACACTTGGTCTTAGAGTGAAAAGTTGACAAAACTGAAGAGATGATGAGGTTAAAACCCTCTTGAGAGAATATTTGTCAGCTTCGAGGTCGAGGACTGTGTTTAAGAGCATTCCTAGGAAGCTCTGTGTTTATCTTACAATCCTGAGTGTTTTCTGGAAAGCTTTTGTGAATCTGGCCCAGGAGCTCTTATTTATCATGCAGCTGAGAATGAGTGCTGATGTAGGATCAGCTCCTTTTCTTTCTTTGTATGTTTGTAGTAGTCCAGTAATGATCCTAGGTCAGCACTCTTTCTCTATTAAGAAACTAGAATTCAGTGCTGCTTTTCAAGGGATTGATTGTTCGAGTAAATAATGCAACTAGTTATAAAAGAAAGCTAGGGTTGCTAGTTAGCATGATGCTAAATAGCAGCATTACCCTTGTTTCATTATTTGCTACTACAGCATTATATTGGAGTTGGAAAAGGCCAGTATAAAGTCCTCTGAAGGCCAGAAGAAAGGACGAAGCATCGGAACGCTGATGCACACACGTACACACATTGTGCCTGACTGTTGGAAGGAAGCTAATAAGCGGTGCCAAGCACACAAACTGTAAACATATACAAAAGGTACATTAATTTTACACACACGAGTCCTGTTCACAAAATATACACTCACACTCAAAGGGAAATTCCATCGACTTTTCCAAATTTCTGTATAATTCAGTGGTTGAGTTTGATATGAAAAATGGTGCATTGTAGAGAAACTTAGATTCCTTCACAGTGATGAAGATAGGAACCAGGGTTCTACATCTGTATCACAAAATATAGCCATTTTAACTAATATCCAAAACCGCCAGTGAACCTACACGTGTCTTCTGAACTTTTATATGAAATATTGATGATAAAATAGTGGAAAAACTGAAAAATACTTTTTTTTTTTACCCTGCACATACCCCTCCACCAGGAATGACTTTTAAAATGTTTTAGACCACAGATATTGTAAAACAATATCTCATAACCATTTCATGTAATAGCATTCTATGGAGGAGCTTTTAAAGGCATCACACTCTTCAGACATCTGGTTCCTATCACCACCACTGTGAACAATTCTGAGCAAGACCTTTTCACATCAAACCACTCTGATTGACTCTGTTTACATTCTTAACCATTCAGTTCTTCATAAAAAAATTGGTGTAATTGCCCTTTAACTCGGGACTACTGCACACACAAACACGTCTTTATGTCACTCCATGAGCCAGTGCTGTTTTGTACTACTGGTTATTTGTGCTCTGGGAAAAAAAAATGTCTGTCTTGATTGTAATTGCCATGTTTGACTTCATGCAGAATGTGAGTAACTACATACCTCTTCCCCTCTGAATGTCTCTGGTTTTAAACAACCGCTTAGTTTTGTTTATCTGAAGGATGGAATGTGCTGATTGGGTAACGGTAAGAGTTGATGTGTGTTTGTATTTGATGAAGCATGCCATAATTTACTGTTGGTGTCATTTTTGGATTATAAAACTGAAATATTGGGTACATCACCGCCTCCTTGAATTCATTTATGTCAACCTGAAGTCACAGTGTATCACCCCTTTTGTCTTGTTTTTTCTTATGAAATATGTGTGGATGTAAGAACCAAAAACAGCCCTATAGTGGGTCATTCCAAAAGCAGTCCACTCCAACTTAAATGTGAAAGGGTGGAGCTAAACTGCTGTAGGCTGAAATAAGAGGATTTATGTAAATGAGTTTTTGTGACATCACAAAATCTATGAATTCAAAACAGCTGCTCTTGCAGCATAGTTTATATGTAGACTAGAATGAACACTATGAATGCAACTACTGGCTTCAGTGAGCTTTGTCTGGTTTAAGCATGTCCTGCTGCCCTTTTTGTTGTTGGCTGCGTAGCCCCTTAGCTTGCTAACTAGCAAGATATAAAACATCAGCAAACATAACAGATACTTTACTACATAAAGCCTAGTCTGAACGTAACAAATGAAATGTCAATTTAGAAATATTAAGTAATGGACATCAAACAGCGATACATTTGTCAAAACAATCCCTCACTCTTACTTGTTAGCGCTAATGCAGTAATTGAACAGCTCTTAAGATGGCATCAAGGATTTATCCAAGGGGAAATAGTGAGGGCTATTTGACAAGCATTAAAAGGGTTTTCCCCTTGTGGTCTGTATGCCAATATTTCTCAGTTCTAGTCCTGGAGACCCCATACACACCTGACCAACCTCTTGAACCCATGTCAAACACAAATCCTGCGGGCTGAGTCAGCCGTGTGACACAGTCCCTATTCAGCCTGCGAAATTATTTTCATTTGCTATTCTTAAGAGCCTGTTTCAACCTGAGATGCACTACAGTCCCCAGCATGCACTGCAACATAGTGTGTGTTCTGACCTCCTCCCCCACCCCCAAAACAACAATCTATGGGCCAGCAGTTACACAAAAAGAAAATATGCCTGGCATCTAGTTCAAGCAAATAGGCAGTTTAAAATCTAATAATTCTAATTATTTTTGAATAAGTATCCAGTGTCTATTATGCTGCAACAGCACACTTTAAATAAACAATGGCAAGTTGGGGTAAAAATGTTAAGTAAAAATAATTTAACACAGCTGGCCCACAAATTTGCTGAGATGTTTTAATATTGGCCTTATAGTGGTGGAGTTGGACACCCCTACTCTAGAAGAAACAGGGGGAAAACGTGGTCAAAACCAATCATTTAAATAAAGTCACAACTTTAATTCCTTCTCTTTAGAAACATGGACAGGACATTAACAAGGAATAATACTTTGAACTGCAGACAATTCTATCACACGGTACCTTTACCAGTCAATATTTAATCAGCAAACATCAGCAAGCCCTTACACGTTAACTGCACGTCACACACTCTTCTAAAAAGTGACACTCACAACTAACTACACATCCACATATCTACATACTCCTGAACAGTGAAAGCTCTGGATACACTGAGAAAACGTGCGCAACAGTTTTTTTTAAGGAGTTTCAGAGAAGGCCGCTGAGCTCAGAGGAAGGCATCGCACCATTCGGTCAGACACTGCGAGCAGGACGCGGCCTGCCGTGCGTTTGCTCCACTGGTGTCCTTTAGCCACTCAGCAAACAGCTCACGATCCTTCCTCAACAGCAGGAACTGACCCAACACCACAAACGCCTGCAGACAGACTCGTATTAGCAAGTGGTTAGCATGTTAGCCCTAATATTCTAACTGCTCTTCTCAAGACACCTTAAATGACTTTACACCTTAAACATTTAATTGTTCAGAAATTTAGAAAAGTCAGTTGAATTCTAAACATAGATGCAACAATCTCATCAATCAGCTCACACTACTGCACTGCATCTCATTTCTTGGTTTGGATTAAGCTCATGATCTTAGGGATCTGAAGGGTCTCCAGTACATCATATCTTATCAACCTAACTCAAAAAGGGAAATATGCCAATATTTATGGAGACCACATAAAGGATTCTCTCTCAGACAGAATCACTGTACTTTATCAAAGCCTTGCTCCTCCAGCTTCTTCCCCAGCACCTCCCCAATCCCGGACAGAGCAGTGACGGGTTTGTCCCCCATGGGTTCAGCCACGAAGTCTCTGTGCTTCTGGGAGGTGGTTGACATTTCAGGTCGTCTTATGATCAACACCCTCTTGAAGCTGCTGGTCTGAAATACTCCAGTTTGTTCTCTAAAGGTGACGAGATGAGGCAAAACCAGTTAACTCACATTGGCAAAATCAAGGCCACACATGGCAGTAAGAACAGTGCAGTGAAAGGATCCTGGATCACCTGTCTGTACACAATGGGCAGATTATTAATCAAATCAACAGACTGTCCTGGTGGTGCATCTCATCTTGCCCAATTACATTAGTTGAGTGTGATGGATTGTACCACAAACTAGCAACCAGTCAGTCACTTTGTACTTTCAGTATTTTCAAATAAAATATGCATATTTCTACTTAAGTATCTGTGAGAAAAGGAATTAGGGGTGTAACGATTCTTGAAGTTAAAAAAAGTGGAAAAGTGCATTAATGGGTTATTCTACCATTGCGATGGCAAATGGGGTATGAATGTTGATATGTAAATAAAGAGTAAAACGTAGTTGGTTACACTGAATCAGTAAAGCTAACTACATTGACCAAAAATAAATAAATAAATAAATAAATAAATCAGCTCTGTCACTTTAGTTTCAAAGTCAGATTGGAATATGTCTAATTTCTACATGCAATCAATATTGTCATTTTATCTTAATTTTTTAAAAAGTCACTTAATGTTTCTTAAGTAACACCACCAACACAGTACTTTGGTGACACATGACAGCTCTCAGCATTCGGGCAAATTTCTCAAATATAAGATTGCACTTAGACTTCATTAAAAAAAAAAAATAAAATTAAAACCCACACACCACACACAACTCTGTAACACCACTGACAAAAAAAACTCTTAGGACAAGGTTGTCATCAAAATAAAATTAGGTTTATACATTTAAATAACTAACAGAAGACAGACCATTTTAATACATTTTTACAATTTAAAAGCAAACTTCCTGTTTCACATAAAAAAATTGCTAGGTACAGTATCTGAAGCCACTCTTGTGACAACTTCTCAATGCACAACACAACTAAAACATTAAAAGATTCTCATTTTCATAGCTTACATACATTAATGTGTCCATTTTCAGTTTATTAGGCTTATTAGAACATTTAACATTACATAATAAAAGGGCAACAAAGCTGTGCTTTGTCCCAGTCTAATGCTCCATCTACAAGCCACGTTAGCCCTATGGTCTGTGTTTTTTCCAGCAGGGTACCCACCTCTGATTTCTTCTGGAAAGCAGGCCTTAGAGTAAAGGGTATCTTTGCTTTAACTCATCTTCATATATCTGCACACAAACACAAGTGCCAAGATATTAATGATAATGATTTCAACGTCTAATCCTGATTCTCTTACCTGTGCACCTGTATCCCCTTGCAAACTGCCTGACCAATTAAGGTCTCTGTCTGTGCACTTATTAGCTCCTGGATAACCACGTGCTTTGTTTCTACACCAAAACATCTCCAATCTCCCAATCAGTTCCCACAGGCAGCTCAAATGGGATGTATGTGCAAATCCAAGTGGAATCTGGTTCTGTTTTGATTAAGTGTAAACAGACAAAAGTCCACACTGAATCTAATTTTTGAACAAGGGTGGTGATTTTCATGCTCTAACAACTGCAACCCTGGCAGTTAATGGATGAGTTGAATCAGGTGTGTCTGAGCTGGAAACTCGGCAGCACTGTTGTAGTGAGTTGTCTGAATAGCGAGTCGGTTGAATAGGTTTGAAATCATATAGGCCTGTTCAGCAGCTGAGAGTAGTCGTGTACTTCAAGTACTTCTGTGGTTCTTTTTCTGATTATTTTTACGTTACTTGATTACTTACACCTTTGAACGCGTTTCTCCTCAGTAATTAAAAGATCTTAACTCGCTTTTCCCCCTCTATGCTTCTTTCATTTCAGTAGTCTGAACTGTGCAAAAATGCAAACTGGGTCTAACCGAGCTGATTTGAGGCCTGTTGTCAACCTCAGCCAATCACGTAGTCGCTAATTTGACGGACATCTCCTTCAGCCTATCAGAAAGCGCCCCTGAACGTCGCTAGCCAATCAGATCAATCAGAGTTGAGCTCTAAGTCCCGCCCTCCCAATCCTGATTCTTCAGGAAGCCCAGCTCCGGGTGGAGTGATGCGAAGTTTGATTCAGTTTACTGAATCGATTCCTTTGAGCTGGTCGCTTCTTTGAGAGATGATGATTATGATTTTCTTAGAAAACGTCAGCCTATGAAATGTGTGTAAACTTTCCATACCAAATAGGTAGCAGTTAGTCATTGCATCGATGTTAAATCATCAAAGTTAACTTCACTGAATCACTGTTCGAACACGATGTTGATTCTTTGAATCTTAGTCACTTTTGCAGCTCAATCTACAGCAACGAGGATGGAGTTGTTTTCCTATTAGCCAGCCTTTTGTTCGAATTTTCCCAGTCCACCTTAAAAGGTGTGGCAGTTACTATAACAACGCCTCAGGCCCCAGAATGTAACTGCTGCACCTTTTAAGGCGGAACGGAAAATTTGAAGAAGACGCTGACTTCAGCTTTGTTCTACAGCAAAACCCGAGATAATTTGTCCTGTAACTGCACTTTTCAGTCAGTTTTAGACGCAAAAATAGTCACAAACTCAAACTGTTCGTACGCCGCAAAAAAGTTCGATTCACTTAGAATTCGTGAATCGGTTCGTCCGAGTTATTGAAAGGAGCCGGTTCAAAAGAACGACTCGTTCGCACTCCAGGAAGCTCTGCTTGCTCGGAGGTGGAGTGAGGTCTTCCTCCTGGCCGTGAGAAGCTCTCCAGGACCCCCTGCTGCACTCCTCCACTGTTTTTCCACTGGAGATCCAGCCATGGCAAAGCCGCTGAGTGACCACGACCGCCGGAAGCAGATCAGCGTGCGCGGCATCGCGGGTCTGGGCGACGTCGTTGAGATCAAGAAGAGCTTCAACAGGCACCTCCACTTCACTCTGGTGAAGGACAGGAACGTGGCCACCCCAAGAGACTACTACTTCGCCCTCGCGCACACAGTCCGGGACCACCTGGTGGGCCGATGGATCCGCACCCAGCAGTACTACTACGAGAAGGACCCCAAGGTGGGCGTGGTGGTGGTGGCCGTGGTGGTTTGCAAATGCTTGGCATTGAACCAAACTAGTGCTTCCCAAGGCTTTGGGCTTGGAGTCCAAGTGCTTTACACATTTTAGTGTTTTCCTTGATTTCATACACTTATCAGCTCATTACTGAACACCTAACGAGGCTAAAGTGAGTGTTTGTGCAGGTGGACAGTGAAATGTGCAGGACAGAGGAAGTGTAGGCCCAGGACCAGGAACTCTTGCCAATGCATTAAACTTCCAGTGAGTTTCCACATAGAAGGTGTCAGAAATGTAATATTAAATCATGCAAGACTGATATTTTTTTCCTTTTATTGTATTGGACACTTAAAAAATGGTTCTTCTGGGGTTCTTTAGTAACAAAAATGGTTGCATATTGAACTGTGAAGACTCAAAAAACCCTTTGCATGATTTGAAAGTTCTTTGCATTGTGAAACTGTTCTTCAGATTGATGGAGAATGTGCAGATGGTTCTATCTAGAACCTTTTTGAAAAGTGTATATAGCACCAAAAATCTTCTAGTGTTACAAGCTCATTATCACAATAGAAGAACCCTTTTTGGTGCTATATAACCTTTTCAAAAAGGTTATATATAGAACTACCGTACTCCATCAATCTAAAGAACCTTTTATCCATGCAGAGGGTTCTTTAAGTGTTCATGGTTCTATATGGAATTTACTAAATTGCACTGAATGTCTGTCTTTGACAGGATTTACTGTTTTGTCGACGAGGTAAAAAAAAAACAGCACAAGTGTCAGAAAAGTAATATTGTGACAATCAGAAAAGTATATTGTGATATTGCGATAATTCATATCACAATAATGACAAATATTGTTATATTGCGCAGCTCTACAATATAATACACAAGCCAATCAGAACAGAGGCAATATAGTCTTAAAAGAACAGTAACAAAACAGCCTGTATAAGTCTAAGGAATAAAGGGGTGTTGGATAATGGTCATATAAAAAATTAATTGTGACTGTTTTAGGTATATAAACATGCATATGTCATAACTGGACCTGATGGGGACAAATAAAATGCAAAACATTATGGATAAGGGCCTTTTAAAGGGGCATTCTGGCCCTGACTTGAGCTTAATATACTCTTTGTCGTATTATGCTGCGCTCCATAGTGCAGCATGGCGTCGCTCAGCATCATTGGTTTCACAGTTTGCATGCTTTCAGGGCTTTCGTCCATGGTTGTTCTCGCACTACAATACCCAGCATGCATTACGCAAATACATCATACAGCCTTAGGTAAAACCCTTTTGCAATAAAGCCACATGTATATCTCACAGACTTTGGACCTGCGTTCTGTCACGTCAAATCTGTGTAGCCGCACATTTAAAACGTGCTAATGAGAGGGCGCTTCAGCTTGACCACTTCCATGGTTAATACCGAAACCACAGTCTGCATGTTTGCACATGAATTGTGTGCCTTACTTTGGAAGACTTTTGTTTGTCTAAAATATGATGTTTTTATTTTCGGGTAACCCCACGAGGAAAGTGTGCTGAAGCCTGCATACCAACCGACCATGTTATCCCCCTTAAGGCCTCAATCAGGGGATGGCAGCATGCAGCTCTTTTACTGCCCTGTTGTGGCTCCACAGCAGAATTAGATTTTTAGGTAGAAATAAAATAATCTTCCTTCGCAGTAAAATAAAATGATCTAAAACGCTGGAGTTAATGTAGCCTATATCTGATAATTCACTGACCTTTAACCCTGAAGGTTGGTGTGCAGACTGATGGTCACCATAGCAGTGCAGACAACAATCCTGCCTAGCTAGTAGCTAATAAAAGGCAAAGAGAAAGATTTAAGATGAATATCGATAATTTGGTGACGAATGGACTTATTTGCATTTATAATCACTCCAGCTGGTTTCCTGATACGTTTAATCTGCAGCGAGAAACTGTCAAACACTAAAAAGTCATGAGGCTGAAGTCGCTTCTCATTCGCCAGCTTCTTGTTCGAATTTTCCCAATGGTACCCGAGTTTCACTCTACAGACGATGACGACACTGCTGTAGGAGGCGAGTTGGTGTGTTTAGAACAGCTTTAGCAATGATTCCCTTTCATTTTGGCTGATGTTTTGTTGTAACTGTGTTTTTTAGTCTTGCTCCTGGAGTTCCCCCACTTTTAGTGTTTTCCTGCTTTACCACACCCGACAGCTTATCAGCTCATTACTACACTCTGCATGCAGATGAATGTGCAGATCATTGTGCAAGAGCTGATCATTCACCAGGTAGCACTATTGAACACTGCAGTGACAGTTTCCTGCCATGGCATGCAAATGTTATGCATATCACAGGTTTTACACCCTCACTAGAGCCTCCTGACGGGGCTGGTGGTGACGCTTTCAAGTTGTGATTGTAACGCGTTTGCCGTCCTTATGATTTCACAACAGCCTTTTTAGGCCCAGTTGTGAGAGGAAGCTTTCACTTTTTCTGCAGTTTCATAATTGCATTGAGCCGTTAAACTTCCTCCCTCGCTCATTAGGCGTTGAACAGTACTGTATAGAACAGCACTAGCATTCAGCAGTCAAGCCACAAGTCCAGAAAAAGGGCATGTGCTGGTCTTCTTGAAGAGGAAAAAGGGCCTGAAGCTTAATTTATACTAAATAATCATATTTAAATAGCAAGATTGGTCATAAAATTAAATATTTTCCTCCAATTGTTCAGCTCTATCATGTACTATATTGATAACAGCATTAATATATTATCAAATTTCCTTGGTTTAAAAGGCTGGTTTATAGATGATATAGGTCGTGACCCCCACAGGACCACGACAAAGCAGGTATCATTTGGGTGGTGGGTCATTCTCAGCACTGCAGTGATACTGACATGATGGTGGTGTGTTATTGTGTGTTGCGCTGGTGCGAGTGGATCAGACACGGCAGTGCTGCTGGAGTTTTTGAACGCTGTGTCCACTCACTGTCCGCTCTATTAGACACTCCTGCATCATTGGTCCACCTTGTATATGTAAAGTCAGAGACAGTAGCTCATCTGTTGCTGCACAGTTTGTGTTGGTCATCCTCCAGACCTTCATCAGTGTTCACAGGACGCTGTTGGCTGCATGTTTTTGGTTCTCAGTCCAACAGCGACACTGAGCTGTTTAAAAACTCCAGCAGCACTGCTGTGTCTGATCCACTCAGACCAGCGCAACACACACTGACACACCACCACCACGTCAGTATTTGGTAAGTGGAGCTGGTAAAATGGACAGTGAGCGTAGAAGTGCATATTTTATACTGGTCAGGGCATGTTGTCATCTGGTCCAGCTGTATGTCCAGCTTGTCAACCACCTAGATCAAAGACAAGCTTTGGCCCTCTGAAACCAGCTAGTCTTTTCAGCAGGATGAACAATAACAATTCCTGCATGGACCTTCAAAGATTTCTGAATACTTGGACTATAAACAAGGAAGCCTTTGAAGAGACATTATTAAAGTACAACACTACATGGAGGAATGTATATAAGCCGGTGTGTCCAGCAAGGTCAGTTTCTTACTGTACTTTCAATACAGATCCAGTTTCATACACAGAGAACTGCTGATTCATTGAGAAGGGAGAGCAGGGCCTGAGCCTCTATGTTCATATGAAGCAACATGTGCTGGTAAAGTCAGAGTAGCCTGTACACTTCCTCCATGTGTAAAGTCTCATATGGCTATTAATAGAGCAGTTTGACATACATGTGCTCCTATGGATCAAGGAAGTCAGTGGGGTTCTCAGAAACTGAACCATGGAGGAGGTTCTCACTGTAAACGCAGCTCAACACCATCCTTTTCTCTATAGCAGTTTGCATTCAGTGATAAAGGAGGTAATTAATAAGACCACAAAGTCAGTCTGAGATCCCGTTCGTTCTCTTTTCATCTCCTGATGGTACACACTTAAAAAGATGGTTCTTTTAATAAAGAAAATGGTTCTAAAGGTTCTAAATGGAACCATGAACACTTAAAGAACTCTTTGCATGATTAGTGTTCTTTGCATTGTGAAAGTGTTCTTCAGATTGATAGTGTGTTTTTATATAGTTCCATTGAAAAAGGTTCTATATAGCACCAAAAAGGGTTCCTATATTGTTATAGGCTTGACCTCATAACAATAGAACAACACTTTCACATTGTCCATGTTTAAAATCCTTTTCAAAAGGGTTCTATATAGAACCATCTATAGCACATTCCATTTAACAGTGCAAAGAATGCTATAATCATGCAGAGGGTTCTTTGAGTGTTCATGGTTCTATATGGAACCATTTTCTTTACTAAAGAACCCTTAAAGAACCATAATTTTAAG